TGCAATTTTATCTCATACATAAGAGTTCATTTCAGTGTATTTGGCTAAAGCTAGGTTATACTTGTTCATTTTTATGTGAGTTTCAGAAACCGGAGAAACCAAAATGGGTTCCACTGCCGAGGACGCCTCCCGAACCGTACGAATTTCCTCCGGAAGAGAAGAAACTGTGCGACGTTTTAAAGGAAGAGAAAATACCACCAACCAAGAGATATGCCAAAAAACCAAAAGAATTGTGCGTTTCATAAAGTCGTTCGACCTTTGTTAATTGAAAACATTTTTGATTTTGAAGTGTCATCGAAGAGGAATCTAACTGAACCAGGAACATACCAATCCTATGCGTTAGTAAAGGGGAATTACGTGGAAGATTGCTCAAAAACATTGATTTATCAACTGCAGTCATAAGCGCGTCAGATATTATTGTTCGATTGACTTTTTAATACGAATTGGCCAAAAACCAAACCATCGCTTTATTTTCTGCTATGCTCCCATCAGTGTCCCTTTCGGAGATGGAATCATAACGACCAATTTGACTCGATTTAATTATTTAGGGACGTCTATATTCCATTCGTCATTCCATGGGAGCAGTGGCCATGTATACAATCCCAAGAGGGTATGGGTGCGTTCGGTAAACCGCGTGATGCGTATACCAAAATTGAGCACGGCTCGAAGCCACTTGTTCAGGTGTGTTACATTTGTGATTCATTTGAAGCTATTCATGACAAGCATACAGTTGCATTCAATGCCTGTGTGCGCCACTCACTAATATGCTCCGTGCTAAACTACCTACTGAAAAAATGAATAATCGGTTTTCAAGGGAGATCTTCATTCCGAGACAATCAATCCACTTCTATCGCAAGACACAGGAGCTTCCTCCAAAGGCATGATGCCATTTGGAGCGTACAGAAGGAACGTATCCTCTGTGATCGACAATCATGATTTCGATACATCTAAGGTGATTGTGACATTTTTTTCGCCAAGTTTCGGGAAATATGCGTATTTGGTGTTTGATTCGAGATTACAAAATCATTGCACGCCTCAAATGACCAAATGATCCGTATGACTCCATATGACCAAGTCTCTCCGAAAAAATGAGTGTAAGAAGTGTACCAATGTAGGAAAATCCATGAAGATTTGTCTATAGCTCTGAAGAGAACTTTGCGGATTCAATGAATTCAATTTCATTTCCCCGTTATTTCAAAATGCTCTGAAGTTCGGTTCCCTTTTATCAACTGTCGGAATTTAGCGCATTCACCATCTGACTCAAAAATTTCAATCTTCTGATATTCAGAAATATGCATATTCATGTCCTTGTATATTACAGCTAAAACTGAGTGAGGGAATCATACCGAAGCAAATGCAAGGATCGATACCACCACAAAACGGTGAAACTGTGATGGGATCGATGCGAAATCAGGTTCATTAGTTCAAATTCGAAAAATGTTTCCATCAGCTCAGCTTTGCACCCGGGCATTGTACACTGTGTTTGTCAACTAGATGATCTCAGGTTGATCTAGTTGAAAAAGATGTGCAATGGCTGTTGACAAGCACCAGTGG